GTGCAAGAATCAAGATAAAGACAATAGAATTCAACTATTTTCAGTTCATATGAAAAAAACTGATCTTAGACAATTATGAAAAGCTATGAGATGCTAGACAATTGTTAAAATCTGGTAAAAGAATCCATAGCAATGGATATCCATGAAACCAGTGGGGATCATACCTAAGACATTCAGATTTCGCAGTTAACCTTTGAAATTTACACCGCTAAACTGATATCCAGTTGTATACATGTCTAACTTCAATCTACTTACGATGTAATACAAACATCTTTTAATGATATCAGTCAGAAATTGCTTGGAAAACCAACATGGTCGATCTCCAATGGTCATAGTTTCTCACTAAACTTACTTATTTACTTACATCTGTTACCCCGAATGGAGCATTGGCCTCTGACAAGCATTCTCCAACCTACTCTGTCCTAGGCCTTCATTTCTAATTCTGTTCAAGTGTTGTTCACTTTTGTCTGTTTCCATTTCTCTGCGTATTTTGTTTTTTGGTCTTCAGGATTGCCTGTGAAGGCTTGTCTTATGACACAGTTGGATGCTTTCCTTAATGTATGTATATTCTATCTATTCACTAGAACTCCAAGAATTATTTCACAAACATTGTTACTAATATATACATGATGATTATCAGTGTAAGTGATTTTTTAAGACTTCCGAATTAAAAGTATTAAGATGTCCTAAGGAAATTATAGGACAGATTACAAATGAAGATATATTCATGTTTTCATTGACAATATTCAACGAATTAGTGTTTTTAAAAAAACAATTTATCTTTATTATAATTTAGTTCAGTTAAGAAGTACCACTGATGTAATCCAAATAAAAATCTGATCGTAATTTTATCGATGAATAATGTATCAAAGAAATCTTCAATCGATTTGGTCTACCTTTTTTTCTAAATCTTAGTAGTAGTAGTTATTTATAAGACATATGTATAGATATATTCATTTCAATTTAATTTAGTCAATAGTCTTAAAGCACATAGTTAGGATAAAGCTTTATTTATGTATGAACCTATAATTTATTTCACTTTTACATTCTAGTCTTAAAGAGATAACAGTTGATTCAAGTTATCAATGCAATAAAAGTGAAAGAATCCTAAGAATATTAATTAAACCAAATGTAGTTCCAAAAGATATGTAACTATTAAGAGTTTGCATTACGGGGTTGTGACGATTGTTAAGTTACACATTTTTTGAAACCATGAATCGATCAATGTTAGACCACCATTAGAAACCTGGAAGCATTGGACGGCAGTTTCGTCCTAGTATGGGACTCCTCAGAAGTGCTCATCCACGTCTAGTGCTTCCAGGTTTCTAATGGTGGTCTAACATTGATCGATTCATGGTTTCAAAAAATATTATGAGTTTCTCAAATTTTATGTGTTACAGAATCAGAAGAGATCATAATCATACACTGAGATCCTAATGAAAGTATCATCAATTCGTTGATGGGTTGTCGTTAAGTTTTAATGATGAATCATAAAGTTTCTTATGAAATGTTTGAAAACTATTTTATATCAAAGTTCCCTAACATATCAAGTATTTTAAAGTTAGTAACCAAATGGAAATACATTTTCAGCAGTAACATTACGAATCGGTTAATTTGATTTTGATAACATTTTATTAAGTTAACAACTACTAGCTGAAATATCTACTTAGATAGGCAAGACCAATACTAATCCAATTTCTTGATTAAATACTTCATAAACCATCCTTTCACGATGTATACAACTGAGAAGTGATAACCGCTGATTTATCTCTAGCATATTTAAAGATTAAATCTATCTACCAGTTAATTAACGAATGATTTGTAATAAAGAATGTTAAGTAAATGTTTAGAAAAAGTTTATTCATTTTTTTAAAACATAATAAAACGTTTCGTCTCAAACTATACAAACTCCACAAATCCTCTCAATTCATACCATATAAGTTTATTATTCTGAACATTTGTTTTGTTAAGTTAACATTCAATGGCCTATTCACATAATACTCTATATCACATATAAATATTGGAAAAGTATTATACACAGACTTAAATATATTTTCTCTATTAGATATGAATATCAAAGTAAATTATTGAAATCATGAATGAATCATTGTTGAAAAAAACACCATTAGAAACCTGGAATCACTGGAAAACCATTTCACCCTGGTATGAGACTCATCAACAATGAGTATCTATGAATCCCGCCACTCGTAGGAATCAAATCCAGAACCTTATGCCTTGCGTACGAACGCTTAACCTTTGGACCACTAAGTCGACATCCAACAGTGTCAAAGTCTATCTCTAATCAATCTAAGCATTTTACGCAACTTCATCCACTCTCTTCAGTAGTCACTGCCTACACACAATTGAGTTGAACACTACTGGTCACATCTTCTCCCTAGAACTCTGAGAATTTTCTCATGGAACTAGTCACTAGTATGCTGCATATATTTTTAGTGACTTTAACATTATAGAATAGGTTAGGTGTGACTTTTTCTACTTGCTAATCATTGTATAAAGCGTACTTAATAATACAGTATACAATTAGACACATTTTTTCTCTCAGTAAATGGAAATGATTTATCTCAAATAAACCAACAAATAAACAAGAGAACAGACTTTTATTTGATTTTAATCTTGATAAATTAATTTGTCATTGTTTCCTTTTGATTGTTAATTATTTATACATGAATAAATGAAAATAGTATTCAAGTGATGGAAAAGTAAAGTTCATTCATCTTAATCAATGATCAATGATCAATGAGTTAATCAAATATTCTTTTCTATTTCTTTTTATTTGCATTTCTTAAATGAATCAATTAAAGATAACTAGTTCAGTGATGATGAGTATAATCCTTACAGGAGCATATGTCTAGATTAGCTGCTCATTGGTATTTTTTATACCGATAATATGTATGTATGTATATGTTCGAACAACAAGTTATATTATGTATATTCATTGTTAACTATAAAGTTTTTATTTATGTAAAAGCATACTATAGTTAGTATACAACACTTCATATCCAATAAACATGAACTAGTTGATAATATATGATTGAATAATGTTGTAAGCAAATAGTTTATGATCTATCAAATTGATGATGATTCGATTTGTTTTTTTCATGAGATTTTTGTCGAAATATTTCAATGTCCAATTATTTGTAATTAATTGTAAACGTCATAACTTACACCATCGTCTAATTTTAGTAAGTTAACTACTTAAACACCAAGTGACAGTTGATTGTTGCTTTTGTTCTAGTATGAAATTATTCAACAGTGTCGAACCACAACAACCTTATGAGGAATTAAAAGCTAGAGGAGACATTCAAATAGTTGACTGAACTGTGAAACTTTTGTTCACAGAGCCGGAATCCATTGATTTACTTTTCTAACTTCAAACAATTAGTTATGTTGTACAACCATTTTCTAATGTAACTTTTGAATGTACTGACGAATTTATTAGAGATATTGTTTGATTCTTTTGATTGAGTATTGTAAGAAAAATGAGAGTTTACATTAAGAATGATTTAATTATCATGATAGCTTACACTTTAATGATTTGTGAAGACGTCATGCAGTTTGAAAGGATATCATGAAGGATTATGAACTTGTGAACATCTCAGGGGAAGTAAGGGATACAATGAATAGCTAGGAGGCAACTAAACCGTTTGAACTTCACAGAGCGCCAAGCTATTCTATTCTATACACAGCAATAAATGCAGAAGAAGCCGGCCAATTTAGTGACACTTTCTGCAGTAGTAGGTCTCAACATACACAGGCAGATGCGATAACGCATGCACCAATCAAATCACACATGACAGAGAATTTTTGGAAGATATGGAAAACGACACATACCTGGGAAGCGTCATTGGCAAACAAGGTAAATCTGATGCAGATGAGAAGCAAAACTACAGTTGAAGAACATCTGGAACTTAAATCAATTTCCAACCAACACGAAAGTTACAATTTTCAATATAAATGTCAAAATATTTGTATTATATGAAACAAAAACTTGAAGAGCCAGGAACGTCATCATCTAAAGGACACAGGTGTTTAATAAAAGTTGTTTACACAAGATACAGAGGATCCATTGGTCAGATACCATCAGCAACAGCCTGATGTTTGAGAAAAGAAACCAGCTTCCAATTGAAAAAACAAATTAGGGGAAAGCGCTTGTGTTAGATAGGACACAGTATGTAGGAATCACCCAAGTGGATTACAAGGTAAGCTCTTACTTGTAATCCTCAAGGTAAAAGAACAATAGGAAGACCAAAGTACTCATTACATCAAGAATTGGAAGCAGACATGAAGAGAATAAAAGGTAAAATTAGGTAGAACTGGAAAGGAAGACCCAGAACAGAGATGGTTGGAGAATCCTAGTCGTCTGTCTTTACTCCATGAAGAGTAAAAGGTGTTAGTAAGTAAGCCAAGTCCTAACTTAACAGTTGAAAATTCTATAGACAATAAAATATTCCATTCTTTTTCAATTTTAGCTTTGTTCTATTTTAATCCGTGACCTATTTTTTTACATCTTAACTCATTCTTATGAGAAATATAGGCATGCATTGAAATGTCTCTGAAGTACACATTTTTTACATGAGCAATAATCAGCTTATTCTGTTTGAACTTAGTGATATTTATAAGTAAATAGTTAAGAGAGAAACATTCAGTACAAATCAATGCTTATTATTATAGTCTTCCTTAAAAGTAAGATTATTGCTTACAAGTTTACTGTATAGATATTTCCTTTCGCATCAAAACTGTTTCAATCACTTTTCAAAATAGTAATTAGGTGGCATAGACTTTACCTATCTGTCTACAACTCAATAGTGTAGTTCAATCCTCTGTTAATATTACTATTATAACAGTCATATAAAAATCACATGAATTCAACCCACATTTGAATCCGACTAAATAAACTGTATTATCAAGCACAAATTAACATTAAAAATAAACTAAAATAAATAATTGAATCATATACTATATCTTTCATATTCACTTACCGTCCACTCTTAGTAATCACCATTTCAGTACCATGACAATGAAATTTATCCCATAATGGTTTATCAATTAATTCAACTTCTGGTCTAATTCCATTTGTTTCTGACACTGATGATGATGATGATGGTGTTGCTGCTGCGGCTGCTGTTAATGACGATGAAGGAGGTGGTGATGATGAGGATGACGATGATAGTAAGAAATTTGATGAATCCATATTAACTGGACTATCATAATTTGATGGTATCATTAGGGAAGTTGGAGATGATTTTAAATCAGTTGGCAGTAATGATGTTAATGTTGATGACGATGATGCTGAAGATGATGATGATGATGATGTTGGTGATGTATTACTACTGTTTTTCTTTGGTTCTTTATCTTTGATTACTTGTAAAATGTCTGTTTTCCAATTATTGATTGGATGATTGTTTATACTACTTATATTGTTATTGTTATCATTGTTACTACTACCATTAAATAATAAATGTGATCCCATAACAGATGCTACAGCATTCATAATTGAATTAATATCTGGTGGATTACTGTTCATATTATTATTATTATTATTATTATTATTATCATTATTATTATTTATACAATTGTCAATATTCATTTCATTGACTAATGAATTACATGTTGATGACATTTTAAAATTGTTTGTAGCCAATGCTGCAGCTGCCATTGCTGCCATTGCTATAACTGATTGTGAATAATTCATTTTCATATGATGAACATCATTTAAAATAGATGTCACTGTTGTGGAATTAGATGTTGAATTGATTGTTGTAGCTAAATTACAACTAGTCAATTGATTATCTTCAATAGTTTCATTAGTTTGTTTATTATTGGAATTCAATGTTGAATAATGATTTTGTACTGTGGTTGTTGTTGTTGTTGCTGTAGATGAAACTACAGTTGAATTATTTATACTATCGATAATTGATGAAACATTGGATTCAGTTGATCCAATAGTGTTTGAAGAACATTTAATGAAAAGAGAATGTGTTTGGTCGCATTCATGTGTATCGTCAAATGATGATTCAAATATACTGTGATTATTTTTATTCGCTTCAGCTAAATTATCATTGAAATTCGGTGAAGATATAAAATTAGATATTAGATCGGTATAATGTTTTTTATCCCAAACACTATTAGTTAACCATGATGGTATGGGTAGCTTCATGCACTGTTGATTTTGCTGATCAGTAAAACCTGTAATTGAAACTGCTGGATTGATTGTTGTTGAGGCCATGGTCAAATTAGATTGTAAATCTAAATGTGAATTATGAATGGAATGAGGCAGTGGTAAATTATTTGTTTGTAAACCTAATAAATTAGGTAATCCAAGTACTGAGTTTATTCGAAAATTACGATTTTCATTATGTGAATTATTATTATGATTATGTTGTGATAAATTTATCAATTGTTCAGTGGAAGAAGAAGAAGTAAAAGCCATTATTCTTGAAACATTGATTGAAATCTGTTCAAATAGGTGTACAGCAAATACAATTTTTTTTGAATTTAAATAATGCTATACTGAATTGTTTAAATAACTTAAATATATAAATTTAGATAAAGTGAGATTCACTTGTTGTTGTCTGTCCTGTAGAAAATATGTGGGAACAATTCGTGCAACACTAAGAGAGTAATAATAATAATAATGGTAGGGGTAGAAAAATACCAGAAATCGCTGATATCATTGATAGGTGGTGATGTCGGCACCTTTTGGCGTGATTTTCATCAAAAGCGTAAGGCCCATTATAACCACACTATCCAATTGGGAATGCAGGTGTGAGAGTTAGTAAATTATTATAAAAGAGTGGGGCAGAATAATCATCTACTTTTAACATTTCTGTCACTTGAAATCGTATTAATGTTTTATCTTTCTACTAAATATGTGCCAATGATTTTTAATATAGATGCTTGTGTGTTGTTATACACACGTGTGTGGATAAGAGATTTTTTATCAAATGTATGTACACCTGTAGGCGGCTTGAATCAATCACATTATTAGCTATCAGTCTCACCCACTTCTCACCCTTTAAAATAGACACACCAAAAATGAGTGATTCTATTGGTAAATTGAAAATAAAGTTGATTGTTAATCGAGACATTTATTATAATTGGTCAATCACACCTTAAGTTTATAGCTGCGTGAATATCTTCCTACCAAAAACCCTTAGCTTGAAAATTAAAAATGAGTTCGGTTGTATATATTTAGGACACATATACTGTTTGTCTCAATGCAACATGTTCAAGTAATAACGCCTTTTGAGATCATGTGATTCGGAATGATTATATTTTAGGAATATTACCCTCATGTTAATCCAGTGCATAAGAGTATTTGGAAGGAAGCATTTTTTACTGAAATCAGCTTCTGGAAATGAACAGACAATCAGAGCACTTGATACCTTGTCGAAACTGAACATTCATAAAAGATATATCTAGAGGTTTTCTCCAAAATTACGGAAACGGAATCTTATTTCTGCCATTTCAAAGTAACCGTTTATATCAAGAACTAAGACTGGTTAAATCAACACTATATATTAGTATGTAGTGAACAGATATGCTGTTACTTTTAGGTAGCAGGCCTTCAATTATGTACAATCCTTGATTTTATTTTCAATCGAGCATAAAGCTGCTTAGTTTCAAAATTAACCAGTTTTTCTTTCATAAACCGAATAGCTGAACTCACTGAATTATTCAAAGAATGTGTATCATATAAAAGCTAGTGTAATTATTCTTATTGAAAAAACCAATCCCGTACCATAAAGTATCTAAATGATCCTTTCTTGAATGGAGCACAATATAAGCATAGCTATTTTGTAGTCATCTTGACAATTTATGTCTAAGACAGAGTTGACTGAAGAATTTTAGTCGACTGCCTGTGCTTCATGAGAGGTAGCAGGAGTAAATAAGTAAATTAACAATAGATACTTAGAGAAAAATATCAAACACAAATCATTTAAACTTAGTTTACTTGATAATATAACATTATTTGGAGGTTTGTGTTTTTACACATTTGCTGATGAGTCCCATACCAGGACGAAACGGCCGTCCAGTGCTTCCAGGTTTCTAATGGTGGTCTAACAATGATTGATTGATGTTTTAAAATGTGTAAATATAACATTAGACTAATTCAACTATTAGATTTAGTAGAGAGTGTACATTTTGATATAAGTTATCCTCTATAATCTAAATTAATATTAATAGTGATAACAATCCAATCCTTAATTGAAACACGTCATATAAATGACTTCATATTACTTTTATTTTCATTTTGTGTAAATTTGATTGAAATTTCAAGTTTATAATTTATTTCATTTAGATTTTGTTATTTTTGATAAAGATCTGATGATATCAAGATCATATTGATCTGAAATATTTTCATGATATTGTAATTCTTTTTTTTTACAGTATTCATTTAAACTATTGAATAAGGCAATTAGAAAATTGTACATTGAAAGTTGAAAATAAATTCAAAAGCAGAAGTATAACAAATAGTCTCAAGTAATTCATATCAAATAAGAAGTCAATCTATTATTATTATTTTTATACAACTGAATAGAAGCTCAAAAATGTAAACAACATAATACGAATAATTATTATGGTCAAGTTTACTATAACAGCGTATCAACAAAAATATCTTTGATGTGTCAAATCACGAAACTGTTATTTAGTAATACAAATTAATTGAATTAAATATTTGAATTGAATATTTACATATTCTGAACTCTCAGTTAAATGGCTGATCACAAAAGGGATTACTTGAATTATGTAAGAAAGTAAAATACTGTCATAATGATTGCACAAGCCAAAACAGTTCGAGCAAAGTAGTGTCGTTTTTTTTTTTCAGAATGAATATATTTAGAGCAGATGTAGATGTTGTTTTACTAATGAGTGAACTTAAATTACAGTTCAGACAACTTAAAAAGCTGATTAGTCAATCACAATCAACAGTAATGAGTTTGATAGTATTCATGAATTATTTTACAAGATAATTTAATCAATAACTCGAATTTATAAAATATTCTCAATGGTAATGCGTCATCATAGGCAACTGGCAAGAAATAGTCATCCGTTTAGTTAGTACATTGATTCATAATAATAGAAAACTCATGATTTCTTATTTATATAACCAGAGTGTAGTGTTGTAATGTTTACTCAGAAGTGTATTTTGATAAATTTCTTGAATAAAGCATCTTTTTTATGGATTTGAATCAAAAGTCCATAAGAGAACAAGGAGACTGCTGAGTTTATACTCATATAACTTTGAACAAACATTACTCAGTATTGAATGGTTACATATACTGCATACTGACAAGTGGTAATACAATCATGTCTAGTTCTTCGTAACTTCTTAAATAATGTTATGAACACTGATAATAAATAACAATAATAATAATAATAATAATAATAATAATAATCATAAAACATAAATTCTTAATCGTTTATGTTTATATTTTTGTAATGTTGGCGTTCAATTTTCAATTGCATGATCTATCTAGACAGATTTTAATCGTGGCTATAGACAAAACTTATTCTTAAATATCATTGGCAGCAAAAAAAACATACAAATTTTTATAGTTATCATTAAATAAATATAAATTTGTTGAAATATTTATTAATGGCGTATTCTCTGTTTGTCGGTTATTCGAAGTAAGAATCTGCAATAATAGTTAAATTCGATAACAGTTTCCAATACCAGTCAATCAAGTATATGATGCAATTAGGAGCGTTTTTCTTTTGATCATAGTTATCTTTACATTATTGTCTTTATATTTTGAAACAAAGAAGTAGTAAAGAATAATACATGTAAAAGTAGAGTATTAGGAATAACTTTCATTTGAAGTGAATGAAGTATGTTGTAAGTTATTTTTTTTTAAAATTTAATCTACCTCAACATTCAATAATGACTTGTAAAGAAGTGGCTTGAATGAAAATCAATAGCGATTAAACCGAAGTGTAGTAACAACAGTCTATAGAATCATTGAATACTAAAGTGGGGAAAGTTGTAAGGTGTGCTCCACCATCTCATTGGAATAAACACGATAACCTTAATTAGTGGTTAACGCTGTTATTTGGAAACGGGTGCTAGGTAAGAATGGCAGATCAAAAGATGAAGTAATGAAACTTCATCATTTGAGGTGGTTAGGACATGTGCTGCGTATGCCTAACCACCGACTGTCTCGAAGAGCTTTGTTTTATGGTGTAGGAGTAGGTTGGAAGAAAGTTAGGGGCGGCCAGACCAAAACATGGCACAAATCCATGAAGTCACTGACAAGTGGACTGAGTCATGTCGGTATATGCAGACAACCACGTCGCAGTCCGTTTGATGATAGTAACCGATGGTTAGAGACCCTGAATGACATGGCTCAAAACCGTTTGCAATAGTGCGGGTGCATTAATTCTTTGTGATCTCTCAAATCCTAATCTTCTGGATTCTTCAACCCCTCTAGTTTTGACTTTTTAAACTTTTCTCACTGAATCATACTTCTTGAATAATATCTTCTAATCCTAACCTCTCCGACTTCTTCTAATACCTTTAATTCCTGTACTACTATTGGGTTTGAATTGACAGTTATATCTCTGTGCTGATGTGGTATGGCAACATGAACTGATGTACTGTTCTACGTTGCATCTGACTGATTAATTGGTGGTTATAAATGATAGGGGTAATAAGTTTCAGAATCGATCACAATGGAGTAGTTCACCCATACATTTCGTCCTCCACATCTAAAGTTTGAATAAACTTTCATATATTTCGTCATTTTTGTATTCTTTTCTCCAATAATTATTCATTTATATTACCACAAATACAATTTTATATTGTGATTTTTTGTTGTACTATTCATCATGTTAATTCAATCTCAATCTACTGATGTAGCATGATAACTTGGGTTTATGAATATGAGTACTCTATTGGTTATGAGAGAGAGAGAGAGAAAGAGAATATTGATTTTAATCCCTGAACATTTTGTAACATTCCAAAAAAAAGTGTTGACATTGATTTTCTAACTGATTATTCACAAAATGAAAAGGGAACATGTTGAAGAAGGAACTTTTGACAAACTAATCTTATCTACTGATTCCTTGAATTCACTGTTTCATCTGGAACTACATTATTTAACAATGTATTGCTTTGTATCCAATTACTAATGAATAATCTGAATTCTGTACGATTAGCTAGAAAGTCAGATTCATCACATTGAACAATATTTTTTAGTGGTATTGTGTATTCTTCTTATAGTTAAATGGTGCAATTTTTTGTAGTGTTCTAACTGTCATTAACATTCGCTAAAAGACCATTTACATGAAGTAGTAAATGCTGATGATATCCAGAACACACTTGATAACTACTACTAGATTATTCAAATGAAATAATAATCCCCACCTCCACGAATAATGTGTTTGTATAATTTATTTCGAATTTGAAACACGTTGTTCATATTGTTCACATCTTTCTTACTATATAGTTCAGTAATGGTGAAGTTTGTTTATCTGCCCTTAAGCTGTTTTTTTTTACTTTTATCTTTGCATCTTTTAAATCTGTGATATTCACTAAATAAATTATCAAGTACATAGTCTATCTATCTATTTATCTATCTAGATAGATAGATGGGTTAAAGAAATCAACAAATCAATGTATTTTCTTTCTTCTACGTTTTTTTCTCTTCACAGACTAGATGCAGTACTTATTTTTTTTTTATTGTACGTGTTTAAATTATCTTATTAGCCATCTATCTTTATTTTAATTTGTCTGATTTTAAAATAGAATGACAAGTGTGGTATGTTTTTAATTCATTAAAATAAAAATAGCCATCTTATCATAAAATCAGTTCATTATTTAAAAACAAAAACAATCGACACCTGTGAAACAGTTTTAAAATTTGAATCTGTGTTAAAAATAAACTGGTCTTTCTTTGCTCCTATAGGAATTTAAATGATTTACACAATACTAATGACTTTTTCTTCTCTCATTTGAAATCATGAATCAGTCATTGTTAGATTACCTGGAGAAACCTAGAAGTATTGGATGACGGCGGTTTCGTTCTAGTTTGGGACTTTTCAGCAGTACTCATACAAGGTCCCTGCTCACGGGGATCCAACCCAGGACCTTCATATTCATGCGCGAACGCTTTATCTCTCTAGACCACTGAGCTGGCATACAACGGTGTTAACATCTAACTTTATTTAATCCCAGGTACTGCGCATTCATATTAATTATCTTTGGTAGTTACTGCTTACACTCTCTCTACAAGGTAATCACTAGTGACTAGGTTTGTGAAGAAATTCTCGGAGTTCTAGTGAGAAGCCATGACTACTGGAATCCCATGCTAGGACGAAGCGGTTATCCAGGCATTTCAGGTTTCTAATGGTAGTCTTACAATGATCAATTCATAATTTCGATGAAAAGCAATATCTCTATAACTAGGGACAGAAAGAAAATGAACATGTAACTAGGTTTTTTAAAAAAAACAGTTTATGGTTTATGCCTACATATAAAATTTGCCTAATGATTTCATGTAATTCAAGTGATTGAAATGAATCATTATGCAATCTTGTAGATAAAGTAGATAAAATCGTATTTGATAAAAAAAGGCTTATTGAAATAGAATTTTGATGGTGTAGTACGTGTACTTTTAAGTTGAGCCTGCAGGAATTGGCCTAGATTTCGTACAAACTAATTAACCTTTTCTGTCTGAGTCGTTATTTACATACATTTTGACCTTATCTATGATTCGTTCATATTTTGGTTGTTTTTATTAGAGTGTGTGTGTACGCATTGATTACCTCATTTATTGCATGTATAGCTTATTTTGTCTGACTATTAATGTTCGGTAATGCTTCATATTACAATGAGTTGGCTCGCCGGCCTTCTTCATGTAACTTCTCTTTACTTTGTTTTCAAGCTTTTTGTTCTCCTATCTGTCTGCATAAATGATTGCTTAAAATAAACTCATCCAACCGAATCCGTATTTGACTTCTCATTACCACAGTCTTACTAACAGGGTTCTTCTAAGTCTGATGATATACGGAGACTGAAGGGGAGATTTGTTTCATAGCATATTCAACTGTTCGTAAATATGGAATCACGTCATGGGCCAGTTAAAAAGGAAATGAATTTTTACATGGTATCCTAACTTCAGAAATTTCACCACTATCATATTTAGTAAAGTAAACGAGCTCTAGTAGAGTACTGAACTATTTTTATTAATCAATCATTCAGTAATAGTTAATATATAGATTGATTGATTCTTTTTTTTCTCTCTAATATTTATTACTGATTAAATGTCATTCATTTATGACGTAACTTGTCTAGTGATCCAAGTGAAATAACATATTGTTGTAGCTTTTCTAATGTTAACTAGTTAGAGATATTTTTGATAGTAAGCTTTGAATTTAAGTCTCATCCGAGATAATAGCAGTTAACGAGTAGTATCTGTAGTGATACTAACAATTTCTCAAATTTTCAGTGGTCCAGAGGTTAGGCGTTTGCTTACAAAACTGAAGGTCCCGGGTTCGAATCCTGAGGGGTGAAGGAGTCGTGGATGAGCACTGCTGATGAGTTCCATACCAGGGCTAGACGGCCGTCTAGTACTTCCAAGTTTCTAATGCTGGTCTAACATTGATCAGTTCATGGTTTTAAAATGTGTAACAAATAATTGTTGTAAACCAATGACCCATTTTTAAAATGAACTAACAAAATGGTGTTTAATTCTTATTTTGGAAATAAACATCTGTTTTATGTGTATTTGACGATTAAATTGTGATGTTTTCATTTTCTTCATCAATATGATAGTATACTAATCTCTATTTAAAATAATCATGTATATTTTTGTGTTCTTCGCGTGTGTGTGCTCGTGTGTGTGTGTGTCTGTGTGTCTATCTATGTTAGTTAATTCAATTGAAAGTGAGAAATTGAACAATGTACAATAGATGAAAGACTACAAATATTTAATCATTCTTTATGAATTCTTTTTTCCCCTTTTCATTGATACCGACAAGCCAAATAGATAAACAACATGTGAAAAATTATTTCAATGTTCATTGTTGAATTAGTTAAATCTTTTCATGCTTTTTTTGTTCCTTTTTGTTTCCTCTTGAACAATAAAGAGAGAAAAAAGCAATTCGTGAAATGGATTCACATTTCTTTCGGTGCGATTTTTAAAAGAATAGTAGGCAGGAATTATGGTGGTTATTTGAATTTTGCTGAATAATTGTTACTCCTCCTCCTCCTACTACTACTACTACTGTTGTTGTTGTTATTATTACTGAAACAACTCTACTAGTTCTCTATCGATAAAAACAACAGTGGACAGTAGAGCTGTAAGTAATTACAAATAAGTAATATCTATATATATAGTTTGGTGAATATTTTAGTTTTCTATAGTGATATAATACTTTTGAAAATAGTGGCTGATAGAAATTTTATTAAATTAAAAGATTTAGTTCATTGTGTTTAGAAATAATGCATACTGACACATCTGCATATAGTATTTATTCACACACACATAAATACACGCAAATCAATATGCATACAGAAATGCCCAAATGAATTGATGCTTGCAAGATTAATTCGCTTGATTGAATTCGTTAACTGAACTAACTAATTGTGAAAACTGGATCAGGTGATGTATAACAATTTTTTTTTATTTATCTGATTTTTTGATTATTTACTTTTCTTATTTAAAGTTTTTTTTCTTTTCTTTTATTTATTCTTATTATCTAAAATTTATTTTTATTTAATCCCCTTTTGTGTTGTTCGTTAAATGTTCAATAGATCGGTTAGTTTTGTCTATTTTGTCAGTGTCGGTGTTAGTGTTGATGTTGATGTTACTGATTACCTGTTATTTTCTAAATATTTTGATATCTACACATTTATATCACTGGTATAGTAAGATGGTCATTTCAAAGGATATATCATTAATTAATACTGTTAAGGATTATGTAAATAGTTGTGTCAGTTCAAGAAAAAAAAAATCTATATACATTTATGTATATATATACTGACTGACAAATGTTGCATAAATTTATGTCAATTCATCTAGTTCACATATGAATATTGCGTGAATCATGTAATAGATTGAATAGATTAGTTGTATTGATAATAATCATTTATTTCAATGATAAATTATTAAAATATCTACGATCTAATGTGTTTTTTTGATAATTATTTAGGTTTCACGAATAATTCCGTTATAAGCTAACAGTGTAGGTGTCGAACTGTGTTTGAAATGTCGGATAATCATTTTGTATTTTTGAGTTTGAGACTTTTCAGTACTACTACTACTACTACTACTACTACTACTACTACTACTACTAATAATAATAATAATAATAATAATAATAATAATACTACTACTAATACTAATACTACTACTACTACTACTACTACTTCTACAACAACAACAACAACAACAACAACTACTACTACTACTACTACTACTACTATTACTACTACTAATACTGTGGTGAGAGCTACTTATAAGTAGTATATGACGCGAGTGTAAACGTAATGTCTGGCGGCAGAAGATGGGGGAAGATCAAGAAAGGAAGAGTGGGAACACAATGGAATTTGTATGAAACGCATGAATAGTGACAATGGATTGATGTTTTGCAACAGGAACAGTCCAGTTCGATATGATGAACTGATATTTTGCAAATTAACGATTTACGATATGGCTTTCCGATTTACTGAGTAACTCTGTAATTTTCGTTAAATACAATCCGGTTGCCGCACCTGTGTTCTCGTTCACTACACTACTACTACTACTACTACTACTACTACTACTACTACTACTACTACTACTACTACTACTACTACTACTACTACTACTACTACTACTACTACTACTACTACTACTACTACTACTACTACTATACTACTACACTACTACTACTAATACTACTACCACTACTACTACTACTACTACTACTACTACTACTACTACTACTACTACTACTACTTCTACTACTACTATTACTACTACCTATGTGGTGAAGGAGAACACAGATGAGGTCAACCGAATTGTATTTAACGAAAATTACAGAGTTACTCAGTAAAATCGGAAAACCATATTGTAAATCGTTAATTTGCAAATCTTCAATCCATGATCAATCCATTGTCTGACATTTCACAATTCATGCGTTTCATACAAATTCCATTGTGTTCCCACTCTTCCTTTCTTGATCTTCCCCCATCTTCTGCTGCCAGACATTACGTTTACACTCGCGTCATAAACTACTTATAAGTAGCGCGCACCACACCTACACTACTACAACCCACAGTACTACTGTTACTACTACTAGTATTTTTAGCTTTACATATAGTAAGGTATCACTTTTATGTAATTCGGTTTGAAATTCAATGAACTATATATAGTCGATTTCAGTTAGTATTATGTATTACAGCTTTTGAATTACTTATCCTACTTATATATATATATATATATATATATATATATATATATATATATATATATATATATATATATAGTAATGATTAGCCATACATTTTCGGAATCAATAATTGAAACTGAAAACGAAAAAAAACAATTGGATAAGACTGTATTCATATATATATATATATATATATATATATATATATATATATTACTAGTAACTAGTGAAATAAACATGAAATATGTTAGATTTTCATACAAGTGAATATTCAGTATGAAATTGTAATGGTAGATTGTATACTTCTGAAAACCCGAAAAAGTACTAGACATCTTATTTCATTTTAGTTATAGTACAATACTTCAGTAGAACACTTTTTATGATGTCAATAAGAATCGAAAGGATGATTATTACAATCTCAGGGAGAATTCTTGATTTTTAGAACTATTGATTTAGCGTCCAATGATGATACAATTTCAACTTTGATCATTTGGTGATATTGCACCATGATTATTCAAATGTGGTTTTTTGGTGATAACTATTTCACTTTGTGATAACACTAGTAAGATGACTATGTGAGAAGCATCTATCTTACAAGTTAAACCAATATTCAGTTGAATTTTAATTAAATTCACTTTCTGTTCATTTTTTTTCACTGATCATTTGGTTTTAAAATCAACATATCTATTATTCTGACAAATCATGATACAATCACAACAATAGAATATCAATTCAAGTGATCGGTTTTATGATCAACATCTATGATATATATATATATATATATACAAATAATTCCTTAAATTACATCACAAGCAAGCATAGAATATTCGCTCTTTGTGATTTTAGTCCATTTGTAATGTAGTTTATTCCTTACGAATTATCGAGTGATAAAGGAGTACTAAGTACATTGAAACGTTGATTGAAATCGCAGAAGGTTTATTTGATTGAATAAATTTGGTTTATTTAAAACATAATTTTGTTTTACTTTGAATAACTTATTGATAAATGTTTCAATGGAAACAAAAACCCTAAGAGGTCACTTATCTTCACGCATGATCATGATTTTATCATTGAAAATGTTTTGTTATGTAATTGAAGATAAAAGATGATTATGCTATCAGGTGTTAACTGTAATTTAAAAATTCTTTCAATGTTTATTTAAAACTGATGCATAAATGAGGGACTATCTGGATTGAGAAACTCCATAGGTAACAAGTCGGTGTTTGAAGCAAAAAGTGCTAAATTGGAGTTCCATTATGTGTAAATAAACACTAGAATCCAGCTGCATTCAGATGACGAGTTTTGAATCAGACGAAGCATATGTTCTGGATGCCTTGCGCTAGTCACTATCCGATATTGTTGAAAACAATTTGTGTTCTAATGGCAATATAGAGGCAGTTTACTCTGTTATTCACATTTCAATAGAGACTGATCAGTTGTTGTCTATAACATCAAGAGCAGGAACCTACAAACTCTTTCAGATAGACACTAACTAGCTCGATGGGTAAAAAGATATTTGTAAAGGTATGTGTTATCCATTTATGGATATTTAGGATTAAAATTGATTTGCTGTACGAATGACTTGTAAGTTCATTTGGAAACAGAGACTGATCAAATCCATTAAGGATCATCAGCAAAACGGGATTACATCAATCCTTACCAATGGCGAATGTCATTTAACAATAGTGCTTTTTTCGAACAGAGATTTATATGGTTTGAAAATGATAATCATAACACTGATTTTCTGGTTCTTCAGATAGTGTTAAAATGTGGTGAAAATGATTTCCAGTGAATTTAAATCTCTTTATAAAAAGTACATCATTGCTGTTGATAATCTGATGAGATTTTGTGAGAACCTATGGGTGAAATACAGTCAAGTGAATAAAGGAATAATGAAGTAATTTACTAATGTTCTTCATATAGAAAATCAAATGTCATAAAAATTAAAAAGCCCTGTTGGCAATATAAGACTCTAATGTCATGAATTTGACCTCGTGTCCAATTATAAAGTAAACACTAATGAAGAGTTCCGACCTACAATAAAACCTTCATCAAAAACTTCGAGAAGTTTCATTAAGTCTTCAAATAAGTCTTCAAATAATTTTCATTTGCTATGTGAATAAAACAAAAAGAGGAAACTTGAATCGACAACTTAATTTATACTTTATTCTTATATTTACAAATGAATTTAACTTATCAACAGATCATAAACAGATCAACACCTGGAACTCAAAACAACTATCAGCAAACACCGAAGTCAGAATTTTCCATACAAATGTCAAGATACTTCTATTGTATGGAGCGCTAAATTGGATAACTATGAAAGCCATCATCCAGAAGAAACAAGCGTTTATTAACAGCTGTCTATGCAAAAGTAAGTAAGTAAGTAAGTAAGTAAGTAAGTAAGTAAGTAAGTAAGTAAGTAAGTAAGTAAGTAAGTAAGTAAGTAAGTAAGTAAGTAAGTAAGTAAGTAAGTAAGTAAGTAAGTAAGTAAGTAAGTAAGTAAGTAAGTAAGTAAGTAAGTAAGTAAGTAAGTAAGTAAGTAAGTAAGTAAGTAAGTAAGTAAGTAAGTAAGTAAGTAAGTAAGTAAGTAAGTAAGTAAGTAAGTAAGTAAGTAAGTAAGTAAGTAAGTAAGTAAGTAAGTAAGTAAGTAAGTAAGTAAGTAAGTAAGTAAGTAAGTAAGTAAGTAAGTAAGTAAGTAAGTAAGTAAGTAAGTAAGTAAGTAGGTAAGTAGGTAAGTAGGTACTTTATTTATTATTTTTCAATTCGATTTCATATTAATATTACTCGAGATGATATATTTTATTCAATTTAATATCAGAAATCTTTTCTTAAATATATCAAACATTAGTAAAATATCCAATTGGTTGTATTTACTAAAAATGTATGAAATGTAATCATTTCAACTGAAGATTGCATCTTGTAATAAATTACAATTGCTTTTACAAATTATAAATATAAATTATAATTCATTACTAATCTCCAATCTGACAGGATACATTCACTTACTGAATTCATTTACACATCAGTGTACATTGGAACAAACAAAATGAACATTAAAAATAGAAAAGTATGTATAAACACGCTAGATCTCATCGAATCTATTATAGCCTGGAGCCTTCTAACACGAAACAAGATCGAAAATCCCACCCCCCTTCCAAAAAACAAATAATATTTATGCACATAGTTTAGTTAATCAGGTGAAATATCGAGCATTTAACTAGGCTCAAGTTTTTTCTCTATCCCCAATTCAAATTCTAAACAGAATGTTGATGAAACTACAGAAAAGTATGTTTTTTTTTATTCATTTGTTTATCAGTTAATCTAAGCAAAACATACCTTACCATACCTTACCTTACTATCTGTCTATTCATCTACCCTAACTAACACATCATTTAGCACATAATAATAATCATAATAATCATATTAATAATATATGTATGTTGTATTTTGTGTCATGTATTTGTTTTTTTTTCTTACTTAAATGGGCTACTATTTATTCGTAAAATTGAAGTAGTTGTAGTAGTAGTAGTTGTAGTAGTGGTAGTATTGTTCGTACTAATGTGTCACATGCATCTCATTTTTATTTTTTTTGTCCAACTGTAGACAATATTAAATATTTATACACGAAACAATTTATTTTGTAAATTATTTAAAGAGAGAAGAAGAACTTTTTTTTTGATCAAGTAAAAAATGTGGTCCAGTTTTGTTGTGTAGTTTATTTCTCTTAGAGGTCTTCTATTCATCGCTCATTCATTTGCTTCTAACCACCCTCTTCCCGACGCCCCCCCCGCCCCACTTTATCAGCCAAGTGAAACGAATGAAAAATGAAGAAAACACACACAGAACAATATAAACAAGTACATTAACAACGAATAGCAGTACTACTACTACTTCTATTAATAGTAATAATAATGATCACAACAAAGAAAAACACGACAACAAGATTTAATTTATTATGTGATGGAATCTCACAACTTTTCCCTTATTTCTACATTGGAAAATTCGTGATAAAAATTTAGTATATTTTATGATCATTATTATTATGATTATTATTGCTGTTGTTGTTGTTGTTTTTTCCCCTCATATTTATGTACGTGTCTGAATGTTTGATGATAATATATAATTTTTTTTTCTTACATGTTCAATATTTTCACAATAATTTTTGTTTTATTTCACACTGTCGTCTATCTGTCTATCTTGATGATGACTGGAGTGTTTATTCGGATTTTTTTTCTAAATCATAAATAAACGAATGATACAAACAAACACTCGGTAGGTCACCAGTATATTTTTGGTAAATGAACTTTATTTTTTGATTTATATGACCGAATGTTTCGACTGGCGTATGTGTTTTCAATGTCCAACACTCGTGTTTGATTAAATCAACAACAACAAAAAAAACACACTTGTATTACAAGATAAAATTGTATGTTTTTGAAAAGTTATAATTATAATTAATAATAATAATAATAATAATAATAATAATAATAATAATAATAAAACGACATTACTCCAATAGTGTACTTGTCATTTGTGGTTTATGAGGGGAAGTATAGTTATACTACTACTACTACTACTACTACTACTACTACTACTACTAATAATAATAATAATAATAATAATAATAATAATAATGATAATAATAATAATAATAATAATAATAACAATTATAATAATACCACAACTTGTGTAAATCGATTGAATTCGAAATTTTACATCGATGATCCAGATTCTCATTGTCTATCCCGGTAATATGAGGTTGGTTGTTTGTCTTAAAAAAACAGATATACACAAAAATATAACATGACAATTTTTTTTCAAATATAAAAATTGCAATTGACTATTTTCTTTTCTTTAATGGTTGTAATTAATGCGAAGAGTACGTGTATCATTTGATAATACGGATCCAACTTGTCAACATCTACACTGTTGTATTAAGATATTTTTTTCAATTAGAATTATGGAGATTAGTGTTTTTACACATTTGCAATCATTAGTCAGTCATTGTTAGATCACCGTTAGAAACGTGGAAGCACTGGACGGCCGTTTCGTCCTGGTATGGGACTCATCAGCAGTGCGCATCCACGACTCCTGCGCCTCCCAGGATTCGAACCCGGGACCTTAGGTATTGTGCGCGAACGCCTTACCTCTGAATCACTGGGCCGGCATCCAACAGTGTTAATGTCTAACTCTGATTGATCTAGGAATTTTGAGCGACCTCATCTATTTGTCTTGGGTAGTTACTGCCTACACCCGACAAGGTTGAAGTCCATTAGTCACATTTCATCATTAGAACTCCGAGAATTTTCTCACGAAGCTAGTCACTAATGAGTACATTTTACGAGTCCTGCAAGGTGCAGGAGTCGTGGATGCACACTGTTGATGAGTCCCATACCAGTACGAAACGGTCGTCCAGTACTTCCAGGTTCCAAATGTTGGTTTGACAATGACTGATTGATGATTTCAAATGTTTTTTTCGACTATAATAAATAATTAATGTTCAAATAAGAATTAAGTAATTTATATTATAGGAAGCAAAAAGAAAAACTGTATAAATTTCTCAGTGTATATTAATTAATATTTTCAAATTTATAAAAAAGTTACTCATCGTATGATTTGTTGTTCATAAACAAATCCATATTACGTATAGACTGTTCTACTCTTAGATATTTAGTTTATAACTATTGAAAAATTCCAAAAAGAAACTTTCATTAATCTTTTCTTCTGGATAATGAATTAATACATCGTTTTTTAGTTAATCAATGAAAGTTCATGGATTCATTGTAATTTCAAGTTGATTTATAATTACTGAAATGATGAATCAATCATTGTTAGACATTCGGTTTTGCGCGCGCATACGTAAGCTGTGGACCATTGAACCGCCGCCATCCAACGGTGCTAATGTCTAATTCTGATCAGTCTAGGGATTTCGCGCAACCCGATATATAATTATGAGTATAGGATAATTTTATACATATATACCATTGATATTCCAATGAAGTATTATTATAGTATAGAACTAGAATTGACTAACACATGGATCTGATTAAGAAATAATGATAACGATCAATCAATGATATAACATGGTAATTCGTATCATGAAACATATATTATTCTATTCAATGAATTCTCTTTATTAACTTTTATAAAATAAAAACATTCGGGTATTTACAATCAATTCACTATAGAATTTAATGTTTCCCGTCATCATTTAACTAAAAACAATGTAAACATAATTCTTAATCGTCATTCATTTTTAGCGGTAGTAGTAACACACAGGACACAGTGGTTTGGAGAATGTTGGTCGGCGACTTATTCTCCATTAGAGGTAACAGGAGTAAGTACGTGAGGAAGTAAGTAACTAAAGGCGAAATACTATAGATAGAAGTAATAAATCAATAGACTAAGAACAATATATAATGCATCTTTTTATTATCTTACCACTTAATGACAACTCATCGGTATAAAGATGAGACGTACACTATAAGGTTTGAAAGTCATAGGTTCAATCATTCATTTAAAACATGAACTCACACACTGTTGAAGAGTTCTGTGCTAAATATCAAAGTAGTTTTAGATTGCTTCTCGGTTTGCATCAGTTATTTCATCAAAGTCAATTCATGAAATTAACCTTCATAATTCAATAATCTCTAAAACAACACTTCATAATAACAAGTGATTTTTATAAATTTAAACAAAATTCCATGTTAAATTGTTCAATAAATGAACAAATATCACATCAATTAGGTTTATCACTTTGAATTAAAGAATTTATATTTGTTTAACAATAAGTTTAGAAATTATTTCAATGTTTATGCTTAAAATAAAAAATTAAGGTTAACTAGCTACCATCATTGTGATGGTAGCGAATGACGGAGAAGTGAAATGCTTAAATTTCTTCGCATAGAAATCAATTTTCAAATTTCAATGTAATCTCAACATTCAGGTCACATGTATTGTCTTAATGAGTCAATAGTGAAATGAGTTTAAAATGGAAAGATGTTTTGATTGTTGCACATTATTTTGAATTATAGTTTATGTGGTTAAAAATGACACTGATTCTTGATTGTAGGTTTATGATAGTTCACAAATCTCTATGTAGTTATGTATGCTGCTAATGTTCAGTTTTACTAAACGTGAATACAACAAATAATATGAGTGATATCACAATAAACCATTGGTTGGTTTTCGAGTTCAAATCACTTTATTGTGATTGAAGTGTAACTAAATTTAGTCAAGTAACAGATTGTCATTTTCAAATTATATTCTTGGTTAACCATTATGCCTGCTGCACATGCATGCTTCTGCATTATTAGCAGCACAAGGATTCTCACAGGAGCCAAAATTGCGATCACCTCTGCCCCATACGGGAACGTACATGTTGTCTAGATTGATATGCAGACAAGTGGATGTCCAAAAAGCAAGCGCACGAGCAGTGGCCCCCGTTCGGACACTTATGAATCAACTCGATCCCTCCAACCAATCCACTACCCACAATCCCCAATCGGCAAGGCAGGCTTCCCCAGCTAGACCGGATCGAGTCACCCAGCAGTGCACTAACCAGCAGCCGTTTCAACCCTCTGGCCTCCAAATGCCTTGTGCTGATACAATCGATCGAAGCCCTCAAACCCCACATGAAGCCAAAGATCGAATTTGTCCAACAAGGTCAGCCGGAACGTACACCCTCCCATAGGGAAGATGTTATGGAATCGACCAAGTGCAAGCACTCGGCCAAGCTGGGTTAATCCCACATTAGTGGGTAGACATTCGCGTCTAGTACCCTTTAGCACCGGATCACATAACCCAACTGGAGACCCTCGTTTAAGGGGCCTCGACGCCAGTTGACACAATACACCGAGATGCAGAGTGTTTGGGACAACCACATTGGGTCGGTGTCAATAGTCCAGGATCTTTACGGCCGCTTCTCCAAACAAATCGTCTACGGCCGCCTTCAAGTATCCTGGAAAGATATTATCCCAATATTTCAAAACTTACCTATGCTCGATGGACGGGATTCAGACTTAGAGACGTTCAGTCCTAATCCGTCAGAGTGGCTAACCGCATCCACGGCGGATGCTAACACGTACCAATATTCTGGACCATGCTAAGCATGGTGTCCTAAGCGTTCGGAAAGGCTTTTAGCAGCAGGGCTGTAAACAATGACACGTTGCCTGGCAGGACCACGAAGTGGTAGCCACAACCACAGCCCCCAGAAGGCTCCATTTATGCGCGTCACCTAATATACCCATTCAATTAGATGACGAGGCATTTGGCTACCTTAATAGAGTCATAGTTACTCCCGCCAAATCGCTAATATTTGACCAGGTGCAAATCATGTGTTTCCAAGTTATCCAGCACTTTTACAGAGTATAACTACATTGGCTGATTGCTGAGTAGTATCTAATATTATATTCATTTAGTCCTTTGGGTTACTGGCCTAAATGACTGCACACCACTTGCACTATGTTTTGATGATAGATGTGGTTGAAGTTAGTTGACGGGAAATATTAGATCTAATTTTGTGCTAGTTAGTACTCTTCCAAAAGATGAGACTATGATTTTGAAAGGACTGAAGACCCCAGGTGGATTTCAACCAAACTGGAAATAAGCATTAAGAATGCCTGATTATCAGTCGTAGCCAGTAAAACAACATTTGTTGAATTATTTTTTCTGGTTAGCGTTTTTTCGACAAGTTAGTTTTTGACGGGATGGGGTCGCCAAACCCATGCCCACAGATAATAACTTGATTTAAACAATGAGTAGACTATACCAATTAAATTATCCAATCACAATGATTTTACTTGAGTTAATAAATTGGATGGGATATTTTTTTAACAACCACGTAATATTACACAATTGTTGCCTATTAATCGATTGCTTCTCATCTGTGTGTATCAATTATTCAAATAGGGGGGGGGGGTGGAACTACAATCACACAAAATTCGTTCAGTTTTCAATGGTTCTTCATGCTTATATTAGTTAATCAAATTATCTGTTTGTTTTTAAAAAATCATTGATGCAATTTCCCTTCTGATTATTGATTGATTTATCTGTTAAATGTCACTTTTCTCTGAATTTTAATGACCGAAAATCCTGTGATCAATCTTATCTATGGTTTTAGGTGTGTACTTGTGAGGGGTTTCAAATTAGAATGAAACAGCTAATATCAACTAGTGAATAAAATGAAAGTAGCTCTCATGTTCAAGTATGAATTTGATTGATATCAGATTTGATACTCAGTCAAATGATCAGAAATATTAAAGTGAAATCTTTAGTTTCAACTGTACCGCACAATTCCATAGATATTCAACTTATTTAGAACAGAAAATATCGATAGAAGTTCTGGAAACCAATAATTTAACTACTTATCAGTAGTATAATGCATATAATTAGTTCATGTTTTTTTTAGAAAATCATAGTGATCTAGTTAAGACAGAATATGATTCTGTTTTTTTTCTTGAAATTGAAAATAACACTAAAATTGTGAGAAATGCAATTATCATGAATAAATACTACTTGTTACACAATTCAATTAGCATATCGACTTTCAAACAAATATTACAGAATTCAAAATCAATCTTGTGTCATACTACATTAAGTATGCATTACGGGGTTGTGAAGATTGTTAAGTTACACATTTTTGAAACCATGAATCGATCAATGTTAGACCACCATTAGAAACCTGCGAGCACTGGACGGCCGTTTCTTCCTGGTATGTGACTCCTCAGCAGTGTGCATCCACGACTCCTGCA